ATGTTGCCTTGGTTTACCCACCTACGCCAACTGTGATCAGCCCCTGTTCCAAGTGAGTTCTGGAAGCTCCGTGACCTTTGCCTCTCGCTCTTGATCCTTTCTCCATAGCTGTGATGACAAAAGGCCAAGTTAAACTGCATCTGCACAAACCTTGTACCGTCCCCCAGAGCAGACATAATTCTTCTGGTGACAGCAACACGGGAACTTTTTATTTCTTCTGTTTTTATTTTTGCTGATAAAGTCAGGACATTTCTTAACAGCTTTATTGAGATATCATTCCCTTACCACACAGTTCACTCATTTAAAGTGTATATTTGTAGGTTACATGCAACCAAAAAGAGTTTTTGGATGGGTAGACTTAACTCTGTCATTGCAAAATTAAATGAGCCCTCAAAGAACAGTGAGGGCTCACTAAATAAGAAAAGCCTGCAGAAAATTGGTAATAGATTATTTTTTCATGCAGGGCTCTGATTCTCCAATCAGTCCCTGAAAATCAAGGGCTGTACAATTTCTACCATCTTTCCCCCAAATGGACTTAAAGACAGAATTCCCTGTACATATGCAAACTAACTTTTAGATAGATAGCTTAGTATTCTAGATAAAACTCATCCTGTTTGGGTTTTGTGTGCATGGTTCTCTTTTCTTAAGAACCAAAGAGGTCACTTTTAAACTGAGATGAAATTGCCTGTATTTCTCAAATCTTGAAAAGTAGCAGCCACAGATCTTCTTGGCTCAGATCTCATTATCTGAGTGATGTCAGCAACATGACTTAGCCAGCCAAGTATTCCTATGCAGACAGCAAACTCTAATTTTTCTTCCTAGCTGTCTGCATAGAATTTTTTTAATGGAAAAATTATATATGAGTATAAGCTTTTACTAGGGAGATGGAAAGTTTGCAGTTGAGCATCGTGACATGCCCCCATCAGCCCGGGATACTCACTGTCCGGCTACATTCCAGAGAACTGGCTCGTCCCTGCAGCAGCAGCTTCCCTGCCTTTGGTGTGCTCTCTGCAGAGCCACGGTCTCCAGTGGCATTTTGGTTCCTTAGCAGCTGCGGCAGAAGTGTGATGCCTCCTTTTCTCCAAACTGAGAGATTCATTCGACAGAACATTCCTGAGCCATCTTTGCTGAAAGATAGCACTGAGCACCCAAGGGAAAATCTTATCTAAGGCGCTCATATTCAGAGTGCCGTTTTATCTAGCATGCACATGGTCTGATTTATCACTAATGTGACCCTATGACATTATGAAGTCTTAAATAGTAAAGGATTACATAGTCCCTTTGTATTAACCAGAATATCATGTCATAACAGACATTTTACCATTTTTTTAAATTTCTTTGAAATTGTGCCCATTGGTCCCTGTCTTTCAGATCTACCTCGGCTAAGGGTGGAAAAGGGATATTATAAAATGGGCAGGGTCTGGGACAGAGGGAAACAATTATTTGATATACTGTGCATCGGTGTAGATTTTCCAGAGCCGAGAGAGACATTCATCTATTGTTTTGCCATGGTCATTGACTAGGTGAGATGGGGGAGGAGTTAGAATATCCATTTGTGCAAGAAACCCCACTGGGGCAAAGCCAGCTTTATCAGTGTCATCCCTGGGCTTTGTGTACTGCTGCAGAAAGACCACATTTATGGCAGCCTGAAAAAAAAATGTTATCAGCCTGTGTCTCTGACAGCTTACTGACCCCAAATAAACAAAGTCTGGGGTAATCAGAGGCACACAGCTTGCAGACTTCCAGATGCTGGAGGCAGGGAGCTCTCTTAAGGATTGATCCACTTTTGATTCCACTATCTAGATCGTTTTATTTTGAAATTCATCAAAAAAAGGTCTCATCAAATGGATGACAACTTTACAGTATAATTGGCAACTCTAAATAGGGAAGTTTCACATTCCTGGTAAGACTTTTCTTGGAAATTACGATTTTTTTAGTGTGGAGGCAAGAAGAACATGATCTCTTATGCAACTGCTTGTGTAAAGGTACTCCTAGATTCGAAGCCCACCTCCCAGCCCCCTGAAGCATCTGTAGTTCGTATCCTCGAACACAAAACAAACATAGCCCAGCCCCAGTGGAAGGTCTGACTGCCAAGACAATGACAGGGTATTGGATGCAGGAGATTTGGGAGGATTGATGAGGAGAGCTGTCAAGTCAACACAGCTGAGCCTGAGACTTGGGGGCCCTGCATGCACTAGGGGTTGGGGCTGTTGCACTGGCTTTGCAATTTGAAGCAAGTTAACCTAAGCAGGTCACTGTACAGATTGGGTTTTTTTAAATCTGGTATGTATGTCGTGATTTCTTGGGGGAGGGACCAGGCATGAGTCTTTAGAATCATCAGCGTGGCTTTTTTTATTTTAATGTGTGTCTGCTGGACTTTCTGGTCACTCAGATGCCCCTAAGGGTGGGCTCAATGGGCAGCACTAAGACGGAACTGTGCACGCTGCCTTGCTGTGAGCCACAAAGAAGTCCGTTCCCCTGTTCAAATCAGGACAGGATCAGGAGTGACAGGCTATTTATTATCATTTTGCTGGAACAGTCCCAGGCATGCCAGAATAATCACCCTACTTTTTTTTTTTGAAACAGTCTGTTTGTTGCCCAGGCTCGAGTGAGTGCCGTGGCATCAGCCTTGCTCCCAGCAACCTCAATCTCCTGGGCTCAAGCGATCCTCCTGCCTTAGCCTTTCGACTTAAAATTAACCATGCCTGGCTAATTTTTTTTTTTGTATGTATGTATTTTTTTTAGTAGAGAGAGGGTATCACTCAGGCTGGTTTTGAGCTCCTGACCTCGAGCGATCCACCGAGTTGGACCCAGAGTGCCAGGATTACAGGCGTGAGCCACCATGCCCAGCCAGTCACCCTACTCTTAAACGCACTGATCTAGCACTTATGGTGGTTTTCAAAAAGACATCCCAAACCCTTCTTTGACTAGTTTACCCCTTTATAGGTCACATCAGAGACTTGTCATTTAGCTGTCTGCCTTTGACCAGGTATAAAATTAATGGAGCTAAAATGCGGTTTATAAAGAAAAAAAGTGGATGATTGTTAGTTGATTGTAATTATGAATTCTAAGCTTTTCTATTTCTCATTTTAAAGAATTTTTAGGTATTTTATTGCCACATGGGGAGACACAGAAAGGAGTACGTAGTAATTTTAAAAAACAACTTTAGGAGGCTGAGGCAGGAGGATCACTTGAGCCCAAGAGTTTGAGACCAGCCTGAGCAACATAGTGAAACCCGCCTCTACCCTCCCCCCCCAAAAAAAAAAACCATGCAGTTTACTCTTATAACTTGTCTCAGTGGTTGGTGGTTGAGGTCTCAACTAGCATTCCATTGGGAAGAGGCTACAGGAACTGAATGAAATTCCTTCCCTCCCACCCCTCATCTTCCAGGAAGAAACAGGAGCTAAATGGTTTCCTCTTTGCTGATTATCAGATAGAAATGTGAGTAATTTCCATACTTTGGATTTCTTTGGGTTGATTTTCAAGGACATCTGCATTTGAGCTGTGGTGACTATTTTGCCTGGGTTGCTCTGAAAACCCCTGACTTCCTTGAGGATATGGATTGTGTGAGATTTTTTTTTTTAAAACAGTCTCATTCTGTTGCCCGGGGGCTAGAGTGCCATCAGCCTAACTCACAGCAACTTCAAACTCCTGGGCTCAAGCATTCCTTCTGACTCAGCTTCCCGAGTAGCTGGGACTACAGGCATGTGCTACCACACGCTGCTAATTTTTTCTATATATTTTTAGTTGTCCAGCTAATTTCTTTCTATTTTTAGTAGAGATGGGGTCTCACTCTTGCTCAGGCTGGTCTCGAACTCCTGAGGCTCAGAGTGCTAGGATTACAGGTGTGAGCCATTGTGCCAGGCCATGTTTTTTTTAAAGCTTTGATGTATAAGTTCTATACCATAAAACTCACCCATTCAGTGAATATTATAGAATTGTACAACCATCACCACAATCTAATTTTAGAACATTTTCTTCACCCCCAAAGAAACCTGGGGCCTGTTGGCAGTCACTTGTGTCTAACACAATACCTGGTTCCATGCAGTCAGGAAATCTTTTTAGCACCACTTTGAAGAATGGTTCTGCTGGCTGGTGTGTTGATACGAAGCAGATTTCTGAGTTTTAAAGAAGTTCTTATACACATGTGTTATCCTGGGCACAGTTCAATCTAAAGGCAATGAGTTGGCTTTACCCCAACTGCCAGGCCCCGTTTCCTGGGCAGTGAAGAGGTATGGCTGTTTTGGAGGCAGAACTTCTTTATGGCAGCCTAATTAACCCCAAGATAGTTGAGGGGTGCTAAGCCTTGGAATTATGAGACATAAAGGGGCTAAAAATAGACTTTAAGGGCAAAAAAGTAGGGAACAAGTAGAAGAGATAATCTTAACATAAATTTTGTGAATTCCTATCTTTGTTCATTTGCTCTTCAGGTTCATTGGAACATTGAGACACAATATTCCAATTCCCAGGGGCTGTGAGCACCTTTGGGCAAATGGCAGCTTGGCAGTTGCATTTCATTTTTAGGTGCCCTGGTGAATGTTTCCCTTTTTCTTTCCCTTTGTAAAAGGTTTAGACCAGGCATCCTCAAACTATGGCCCGCGGGCCACATGCTGGCTGCCTAGGACATTTATCTGGCTCACCGGGTGTTTTTGCCACCGCTGCCTGTCCTGCTTAGCAGCCCACTCGTCCCGGGCCCACGGTGCGCATGTGTGGAGTGTGCGCCGCAGTCTCCAATGGTCTGAGGGACAGTGAACTGGCCCCCTGTTTAAAAAGTTTGAGGACCCCTGGTTTAGACCAACCTCCTCCGCTACCAATATCAAAGAGTCCATACAGTTTAAAACTGCTGGATGACCCAATTTACCTACTGATTTTTTCTGTAAAAGGTGTAGAGAATTCGACAGGTTGGCATATGAAAATGTTGTACCTTGAGGCATCCTGGAATGCAACCCACATTCTTCCATGTGGTTTCTTAATGGACTGACCTTCAAACTTACAGGAAACGGGGATGTATCATTTTTATTTCTTGGTGGTGGACAGTTTCTCTTGTGGTGGTCCCGTGTCTGTGTGTCCTCCATCTCCTGGGGAGAGGTGGGAGTTCTCAGAGACTGAAGACGTTAATTCTGATCTTGGCGGGTCACGTGTTTCAGGATTAGCAAAAAGTGGGCTGGTTTGAAAACTGTTGAGCTAAGCTTTCTCCTTTTGCAGTAAATACTAATAATAGAAGGCAAGGCTGAGATACCACATTTCAAAATTCCCTTTTAAAATCGTAGATTATCACCTCTATATTGTAAAGTTCCCATTCAAGCAACAGTCCAGTAGTCTAACTTCACACAGATGAATTAGTATGGACTTGCTAAAGATTTCTTTAAAAAGCACTGGAGCAGGATGAATTTGGCTTCATCACAATGCTTCACTGTCCACAGAATTCTAGAACGTGGAGGGTGGGGATGGGCTGGTGTTTCCTAAGAAAAGGCTAAGTGAGGTTGCCTGTGGGGTGTATCATGTTGATTTGCATCGATTTGTTTTGTTCTATGCAGAATGAGAGAGCACATCGCCTCGCTACTTCTGTAGCCTAGAAGACATTGTGTTTCTTTCTTTAGTCTCCCATCAGCCACATTGATACTGGAATTTTTCCCCTCTCTGCTTAGGTATCTTCATACTTTCTTGGAAAATTAAGTGGAAAAGATACTGCATCTTTTCCTTATGCCATCATTTTTACTGTACCCAAACTGTGACTTTAGGAGCACCAATTTTTAAGGGTAAGTCTCCGTGAAGCAGAGAGAATTTCTTAAATAGGTAAGGCCTCCCCCTGAGCCCTTGAAGAATTTAGGGGTAAGAAGGGGGTGTGGGGATGAAGGGATTCTACAGAGCAGGACATTTTAAGATGACAAATCTTTTACATACCTAAAATCAAGTTGCAGTTGGGAATTAGGAAACTGCTTGACTCTTTTGCTTAATTTACTATCGTAGTATATATAGATTAGCAATCTTAGATCCTTGTTGGAAAAAGGAAATCATTTTTCTAAAAATGTATTATTATGCAGGAATATCACACCATCTGGGACTATGTAGGCATCACAAGCAGGAGGAGGGAGGGACTTTATTTTCTCCCCATGGAAACCCTAATAGAGAGGCAGAATATGCAGGCCTAGGACTGGCTAGCTTGGGCCATTTCAGTGGCTCTAGGGCTCAGGGTTGCCTGGTACCTGGCCCTGGGGTGATCAGGGCAGGTGGATAGTGGCCTGGGATGAGAAAGCCAGCTAGAGGCGGTGGCTGGGGTGTGGGTTCAGGACTTTGCATCCTCAGATGAGTTGTTTAGGAATTCCCCAACCCTGGGAGGGACAGTCCCTCTGGGATCAGCAAAGCCCCAAATATGAAAGCATCAGAATAAGAAAATGAAGCTGTAACACATTGCATTAACCAGGGCTTTTAATTTCAGCCTAAGCTTCTACATACCTTGAGTCTTGATTTCTTTGGGCAGGTTCTCTAACCTGGGATGATCCTGGGCCCTTCTGGTCTAGACCTCTGTTTCCTACCCAGCTGCACTGCTGGATGTCCTATAGGTTTCTAGGGTGTACATCTGGATTTATTGTCTTCCTCCCCTAAAATTCTCCTTCTGTCTCGGGCGGTGGCTGGGCCTGAACGCCTTCCTCTCCTTTCTTCCCCAGGTACATTCATTCCCCAACACCTGTTAGCCTATCTTATCCATGTGCCCTGACATGAGGGAATTTGACCTTGTAACTTTCTCTTCAGCCCCAGGCTTCCCTCTAAGCCCCCATCGACACATGAGACACTTACCTACTGTCAGAGGTCCCCCGTGGGGCTCCACCGGCTGGCACTTTGCTGCCTGCCACCCCTCCCTCCTACCCAGTGATGGCTCCTTGGACCCTGAGGCCAGGGCCATGTGCCAGCTCCTCTGGGAAGCCACCCTTAATTGCAATCTCCCTCCTCCATTGCACATACCTGCATAAGGGCAGTGGTCTCACGGTATCTTGCCTGCTTTTTACCTGCGGTCTTTTCAGCAGATATTGAGGACCTAGAAAAAAAAAAAACAAATCAGACCCTGCCCTCAGTAATCTCATAGCCTCCTTGGGGAGAATGGGAATCAGAAATAACCACATGAACTTGTGTCTATTAATAATTAAAATATGGTACCTGCCATTGATAGGAGTATGAACAAAGTCCTGGAAGCACAGAAAAGACAGAACTCTACCAGGAAGACTCAGGAAGTAGTATTTGGGGTGGATCTTGAAGGATGAAGACCAGTTTATTGAGATGGAGAAGCGAGACAGAGAAGTTGACAGTTTGATGGCTCTTTTCCCTAAGAGACCAGATGTGTAGGTATCGATGTGGGACTGTGGAATATTCTTTCCTGGTGCCTTTGATTAGATATTCTTGTGTTTCTCAGCCTAACGCGTGGCCCGGGGGAGCAGACAGCCAGACACTCTGCATTTCCAAAGGTTCTTTAGATGCAGTGAAAAATGTTTACATATCACGACTCCCACATGAATCCAAAACTCACACCACACCCAAGTTAACTGCTTTGTTGAGATGTGTTTTTATACTGCTATCCTCTCCTCCTTTCGATTTATTTATTTCTTGAATTTGAGGCAGTTTGCAGAACCTTCTCTTCCAGGAGTTTACTATATTAATAGGCCTCCCAAAAAGTGCTCATGGCTGAGTTACATAGAAATGCGAAACTATCGCTAGAACCTCGAATATTCACCCTCTCTTTTAGCTGTTGAACAAGTTTTGGAGTCAGACAACCTGGTTAAAGGCCGGGCTCTGCCACTCACTAGTACGTACCCTCGGGGAGATTATTCCAACTCTTAGAAGAGATGTCCTCAAACTTCAGCCCACCGAGGACATTTATCCGGCCCGCCAGGTGTTTTTGCTGCCACTGCCTGTCCTGCTTAGCAGCTGACTCGGCCCACAGTGCGCATGTGTGGAATGTGCACCACACTTTCCAACGGTCTGAGGGACAGTGAACTGGCCCCCCGTTTAAAAAGTTTGAGGACCCCTGACTTAGGACATGAGTTTCCTCCTTAGTAAAACGCAGAGTAAGATGGAGCTTACCTCGTGGGATTTTTAGGCGTTGAAGATGAATGAAATAATGCACTAAGAGTGAATGGCGCAATTCCTGGCATGTGGTTATAACTGGAAGGGGCTTATTTTTGGTGATGTCATTTGTCATCATGCTTGAACAAGCCCACAGCTGATTCTTGTATGGGCTGGAGAGATGTCGTAGGTGGATATTGACTTACTGGTGTCCATGAAATCAAGCAGCATTAGGAGAAGATGGGCTTTTAGGGACAACAGATCATAACCCTTTTCCCCTTTCATCACATGTTGCCAAAACACTTTCAAAAACATCCTGTCACATGTCGTTGTAAGAAAGCTAAAATAAAGGATCGCCATATTTACATTTGTTTCCATTGACCATTTTGTCTGAATTGAATGCCACTTGGTTTAATTCACTAAGGATGTAAGCGTTTTTTCATTTTATATTCTTCAAACTCCAGATTTTTGTTGGCAACCTCATAACATTTTAGGGCAAACCATGCTTCATAATCCAGATAGACATCTCTTGTTTTAGTATATATTCCTACTCCTGGGGGGTTATTTAGTGTGTGTCTATGTGTGACTGTTTATTGGAAGGAAGCAGTTCTGTGTTTAGAGTTGTAGGTTCTTAATTAGGGATCTGGTTAAGCTGGATAATTACAATGGAATAAGTGGCGAGAGCCAATTAGTGCAGTTCCTGGTTTAGGGCTTAACAGAGCTGAACATCACTAACAGAAATGGTTGGCAAATTTACTACTAAAAAGGCAACTCGCATCCCCATGAAGGAAAGAGTCTATCATTTGCATACTTATAAGGAATTCTAGAAGTAAAAATGAAAATCTGCAGGAATAGCTTTATAGCATCACCTCCTTTTCTTATCAACGAGGATAGTGTTGTCTAGTACCTTTTGTCATTTCTGTGCTTTCTTCTCGTCCCCCCATATAGGAAGAATGTTGGTGAAAAGCACAGAAACCAGTGACTTCGATGGCTGTGGAATTTTCGTGGAGCAAAGAGAGCATCCGAACTCCCCTGGATTATCTTTTGTACCCGGCGAACCCTTCACACTCCCCAGCGTGTTCTGTGAACTCGAGTGACAAAAGCACTCAGGGCGCTTTCAGAGGTGGGGTGCGGGTGGGGAGGACGGGCGAGAGATCAATGGAGCAAATGTTTTACAACCTGAACCTCAGAACTGTGATCCTCCAAGGAGAGCGCTACTTGAAGAAAAGAAACAAACAAAAAAGTCGAACAGCTTCTCAGGGATTTTGTTTTCCGTGCACATATAAGCCATAGTTGCAGTCCAGGTGGCAGTATTTAGAGCACTCAGATTTCAGTTCTGTTCAATGTGAAAGAGGGATCGACTGACGTTCATTGCTGTTCCGTAACTAGTGTAAGATATGTATATGTTTATCTTTATTTTTATAATATGCAAAATACATTTAAATTTATACAGTTTGAAGCTTCTAGCGTTAGTTAACACTGGGTGCAATATTCTGCATGAGAACTGTGCCAAGATGGGGCTGATTTCTTATTTTAGCATAAGCCTTTTTTTTTCCTTTAATCCTCCTCAGATTAAAAAAAAAAAAGTCTATGGATTAAGTGTTGGTACAAAGAAATTGCCAGAAATCAGCAAGACCCTTAAACGTGCATTTCAGACAGTGTCCCCTTCCTTTGCAGTAAAGGTCCCTGCTTATAAATCATCAGACACAGCAGGGTAATTATTCCTTTTCCTTCCCACATATCCTTAGTGCCAGCCCAAGGTGGGGCCTATGGGGACAAAGAGTCCATAAAAATCCTGTCTTTTAATAGCTCCAGATAATCAGGAGTCCGTTCTGATTCATGCAAACAACTCCGCTAATAAGTACCTTCCTTTTCTAGAACAGTCTGTGAAATTTAACAGAGCACATTGCAAGCCCTCCACAGCTGGGGGGAGACCTTAAGACAGTGAACTTCCTAATTGGAGAGAATAATCTCACATCGGTATTTATAAATACAGAGCCTCTGATTGGACAGTCTGCCATCAAGAACTAGTAAAAACCCTTGTTTTAAAATCTCCAAGAGGTAAAACTTAAAAAACAAAAAAGCAAACTAAACAAATTGCTCTCTTTTCTACTCCTAACTGGGGCCAAACAGCATATGCTGCAATAGTAACACATTCTCTGAGGAAGGTAAAGGACTCTAGTTACATCTGCCTCCTGAGTGTTGATTGAAAATGTGTAAAACTAACTGATTCTTTCCAGTGTCAGACAAGAAAAATGAGTGAGCTGGTGTTCCTCTTACTTCTTAAGTATTGATTCTTGGAAGGCCACAGTATACAAAGCCTCGACATCTTTTTTTTTTTAAAGAAAAATCAATTTCTATAGAGTATTTCCTGCCCCAGGAGTTAACTTCACTGACCCCAGGATCTCCAGTTAAACAAGTAGGATTTCTTATGATCGCAAAATCAATTGGGATCAGACTGTTTTTGCATTTTTGAGTACTTGAATAGGACCCCTCCAGTTGGAGATTTCGTTTTCTTTAGAAACAGTCACAAGATTCATCTGGTTAATCCCTTTTGTCACAGTTCTCGGATGTGTGCGCGTGCGAGTGTGTGTATGTCAAACCGAATGGTAACATTTAATTGCTTTCTGGACCATTGACTTGTTGGGCAATACGAGTTTTTTTAATTGGCCCAAAGACAGTTTCTAAACTGTGTGAAATTAACCAACTTTAACCAGTCTTGAGAAAAAGACTCATCAGTATGTGACTTTGGGCAAACTCCCCAGGGGACCATATTAAATGAAAAAAAAAAAATGTTCCTTTGGGTGACACACCCTGCACAGTGTTTGCTATTATCATGAGCATAAATGCCCACATTCTTAATATCTAATATTATTTGACAAGTGATGTTTTGTGCTGTCATCTGAACCCTAGAGAAGCAGTGGAAGAAGAAACCTTGGTGTCACAGGTGTTTTAGCCAAATGGTCCACATGAGAGAATCGTGTGACCAAAAGCAGCTCCAGAGAAGCTTCTAGAACTTGCTTCAGGGTGGGAGGAGGGTTGGAAATCCAGAAAACATTGTGCTCTACAGGAATTTTCGGCCATCTATGCAGGAAATTCCGTTTTCTCTTTCAACACCTGGGAAGACTCAGCGGCCAGCCAAGACTGACAGGCAAATTCACTAAGCACAAGAGGAATTTTTTTTTTCCACCCGAGAAGTCCCTTGCCTCTCAACCAAATGCCCTCCAAGTTTGTTATGGTTTCTATTCCTGCAACTTTGTGGTATCAAAACCACTTCCTGGAATTGTAAAAGCGTTGCCAGAATAAATGTTTTTCCCCCTTCTAAGAAAAAAAATAACGACAGTGCTCATATTTGACACTTGTGCATTCGACTCTCTTTTGAATGAATAAAGAGGAAAGGGTTTGGTGTAATTCCTGACGGGGTGTGTGTTGTTTTTCGTGCCAAGGTTTGTGGATTGTAATTGTGGTTTCTCATTTCATTGTCGTAACTGGGCAGAAATTTTTAAAAAATAATAAAATTCAGTAAAAAATGCAAAGAAGTGGTGACACAGTTCTATCCCCAGAGTTTAGTTATTTCTGTTTTTGTTCACTTTTAGTCTGTTTTATCACTTATACTTTTCAGTTCTTCAGTGACGCTGTTCAAGCTATGGTGGGGGAGGTGGTATCACCCTCAAACTGGAGTCTCTGTTGTCAAACTCTGCCTCTGGTTCCAGGGGTGCAACTCTGCATATCAGCTGTCTCTTAGATCAAGTCATTGTTTCAGTGATCCACTACATTCCTAAATCAAAGCTTATGAATTTGTTTTTTTTATTTTTTTTATTTTTTGAGACAGTCTCGCTTTGTTGCCCAGGCTAGAGTGAGTGCCCTGGCGTCAGCCTAGCTCACAGCAACCTCAAACTCCTGGGCTCAAGCAATCCTCCTGCCTCAGTCTCCCGAGTAGCTGGGACTATAGGCATGCGCCACCATGCCCGGCTAATT